TAGTACGATGCTCTTTAGCCTCCATATTTGAGTTCTTTCCAACTTTCCTCTTTAGATTGAGTTCCAGTTTGAAAGCACTGTGGTCTGAAAATATGCAGGGAATAATCCCAATCTTTTGGTACCAGTTGAGACCTGATTTGTGACCTAGGATGTGATCTATTCTGGAGAATGTTCCATGGGCACTAGAGAAGAATGTGTATTCCATTGCTTTGGGATGGAATGTTCTGAATATGTCTGTGAAGTCCATTTGGTCCAGTGTGTCATTTAAAGTCTTTATTTCCTTGTTGATCTTTTGCTTAGATGATCTGTCCATTTCAGTCAGGGGTTGTTAAAGTCCCCCACTATTATTGTATTGTTGTCAATGTGTTTTTTGCTTTTGTTATTAATTGCCTTATATAATTGGCTGCTCCCACGTTAAGGGCATAGATATTTAAGATTGTTAGATCTTCTTGTTGGATAGACCCTTTGAGTAGGATATAGTGTCCTTCCTCATCTCTTATTACAGTCTTTGTTTTACAATCTAATTTGTCTGATATAAGGATTGCCACCCCAGCTTTCTTTTGGTGTCCATTAGCATGGTAAATGGTTTTCCACCCCCTCACTTTCAATGTGAGGTTGTCTCTGGGTCTAAAATGAGTCTCTTGCTGACAGCATATTGATGGGTCTTGTTTTTTAATCCAATCTGATAGCCTGTGTCTTTTCATTGGGGCATTTAGCCCATTTACATTCAGGGTAACTACTGAAAGATATGAATTTAGTGTCATTGTATTGCCTGTAAGGTGACTTTTACTGTATATTGTCTGTGTTCCTTTCTGGTCTATGCTGCTTTTAGGCTCTCTCTTTGCATAGTGGACCCCTTTCAATATTTCTTGTAGGGCTTGTTTCATGTTTGCAAATTCCTTTATTTTTTGTTTTTCCTGGAAGATTTTTATCTCTCCTTCTATTTTCACTGACAGCCTAGCTGGATATAGTATTCTTGGCTACATATTTTTGTCGTTTAGTGCTCTGAAGATATCATGCCAGTCCTTTCTGGACTGCCAGGTCTCTGTGGATAGGTCTGTTGCCAATCTAATGTTTCTACCATTATAGGTTACATATCTCTTCTCCCGAGCTGCTTTCAAGATTTTCTCTTTTTCTTTTAGACTCATAAGTTTTACTATTAGATGTCGGGGTGTTGACCTATTTTTATTGATTTTGAGAGGGGTTCCTTGTGCCTCCTGGATTTTGATGCCTATTTCCTTCCCCACATTAGGGAAGTTCTCCGCTATAATTTGTTGCAATATAACTTCTGCCCCTCTCTCTCTTTCTTATTCTGGCATCCCAATTAATCTAATGTTTTTTCGTCTTATCATATTACTTATCTCTTGAATTCTGCCCTTGTAATCCAGTAGTTGTTTCTCTCTCAATTTCTCAGCTTCATTATTTCCATCATTTGGTCTTCTATATTGCTGATTCTCTCTTCTGCCTCATATATCTTAGCTTTTGTGCCCCCATTTTTGATTGCAGTTCATTAATAGCCTTTTTGATTTCGATTTGGTTAGATTTTAGTTCTTTTATTTCTCCAGGAAGGGTTTCTCTAATAATTTCCATGCCTTTTTCAAGCCCAGCTAGTATCTTTGAAGTCATGATTCTGAACTCTAGGTCTGACATCATACTAATGTCCGTATTGAGTAAGTCCCTGGCAGACCGTACTGCCTCTTGTTCTTTTTGCTGAGGTGATTTTTTTCGTCTTGTCATTTTGTCCAGAGTAGAATAGATGAATGAGAGAACAACATGCTAACAGGTTAACAATGTCCCCAGCAAATATACTCTAATGAATTCAAGAAAGACCTGCAACTAGAGGAAAAGAAAGGGAAAGAAAGAAAAAAGAAAGAGAAAAAATAGATAACGATAAAAACAAACAAAAACAGAAGAAAACAAAAAAAACCCAGAATATTATCAAATATGGTCAGGCTAGTGCATAGATCAGTGCCACACACTAGATTTTGAGTATATTTTGGTCTGTTAGAAGAAAGTGCCTCCTAAAATTTTAAAGAAAGAAAGACTTATGTATGTACAAAATAAGGGTTGATAAAATGAAGGGATGGAAGATGACTGTAAAGGTGAAAATTATAAAAGATTTTTATAAAAGGAATTGATAAGTTGTTTGAAAAAAGAAAGAAGATTTAAAAAAAGAGAGAGAAAAAAAAGGGAGAGAATGTGATCAGGCAGGAGACTAGAACAAAGCCAAACACTAGTGACTTAGGGTATATTTTGATCTGTTAGAAGAAACTGTATCTCAAAATTTTAAAGAGAGAACAACTTATATATATACATATATGACAAAAATAAGTGTATCTACTCTGAAGGGATAAAATATGACTCTAAAAATGAAAAATAATTTTTTTTCACAAAGGGATTGATATGATGTTGGTTGAAAAAGGGAAAAAGAAAAATTAAAAAGAAAACAGTTAAAAAATTAACTATGAAAAACTAATAAATCATGCTAAAAAAGCCATGAATTCTATGTGCAGTATTCCCCTAGCGCTTGAGTTCTCCTGTTCTCCTTGATCGGTAAACTTGGTCTTGGTTGGCTGTTCGTGCTGATCTTCTGGGAGAGTGTCCTGTTGCCATGGTTCCCAAATGTCTTTCCAAGAGGCAGAATTGCCCTGCCCTTGCAGGTCCAGGCTACACAATCTGGTCGGGTTTCCTCTCCTGAGCTTTTGTTCCTTGCAAGCTTTCCCTACAGCTTGGGAGGATGAAAGTGAAAATGGTGGCTTCCCAATCTCTGCCCTGAGGAGCTGAGAACTTGGGGCCCCGCTCCTCAGTGCACCCCTAGAGAAAAGCAGTCAGTCACTCCCATCTCCCCGGTGTCCGGCCGCACTCCGTGCTCACCTGGCCGGTGACCAAGCGTTTCTATCTCTGGCACCTGACTCGGTGTGGAGTCTCCAAACCCAGCAGATCCCTGCGGTGCGCTCCTGTGCTGCTCCTCCTGGGGGAGGGAGGGGATTCTCCCCAGATCTGCCGCTTATTGGGGACCTACTGGAGGAGCAGTGGCCCAACTGGGCCGCAGATCACAATTTATGGCAACCCCGAGCTGAGAGTCCACGCCTCGGCTCCGTCTCTGCAGCAGGCTTCCCTGCTCTGATACCTGTGAGCTCTGCCACACTCAGGCACCCCCGGTCTTTCTGTGACCCCGAGGGTCCTGAGACCACACTGTCCCACGAGGGTTCCACCCCCCCTTAGCCACTGGAGCGACATCCCTTAGCGGAGCCAACTTCTAAAAGTTCCGATTTTTAGACATAAATTTTCAATTCCCCTAGATAAATACCAAGAAGTGCAATTGTTGTATCATATTGGTAAGAGTATGTTTAGTTTTGTAAGAAACCGCCGAACTTTCAAAAGTGGCTGTAAAATTTTGTATTCCTACCAGCAGTCAGTGAGTGTTCTCCAGCATTTGGTATTTTCAATGTTCTGGATTTCGGCCATTCTAAAATGTATGTACTGGTATCTCATTTTAATTTTCATTTCCTGATGACAAGTGATGTGGTCCATCTTTTCATATGATTATTTGACATCTGTGTATCTTTAGTGAAGTGTTTGTTAAGGTCTTTGGCTCACTTTTTAAAATTAGGTTGTTTATTGTCTTACGTTGAGTTTTAAGAGTTTTTTGTAAATTTTGGATAGTAGTCCTTTATCAGATGTGTCTTTTGCAAATATTTTCCCCCAGTCTGCGGCTTGTTTTCTAATTCTCTTGATATTGTTTTTCACAGAATGCATTATGGGAATTTTAAAATTATACTATTAAAAAAATAAAGTGTATTGGACTTAAAATCAGTAGATATATGAATAAAAGTTGCCTGCTTATTAACAGTGTGACCTTGTTAAAGATGCTTATCTGCTTCTGAGTTTCTATTTACATAGAAGACAGTAAGAGTATCCACTTCACATATTTTTTGAGAGAATTACTGAGATAAGCTATACAAAAGAGCCTGGAACAGACCCTAGTAATAATCAGTTGTTAGGGCTTTTATCTGACAGTTAACTAACTTTGTATTATTTTGTTGATATACTCAAAAACAACAGAATTAGAGAACATTTAGAAAATGTTGTTCAAACCTTAATGTTAATAGCTATTCAGTAGTCCTTAATTTAACTGATGTCTTACTGTTGGAAATTTACATGATTTATTTTCCACTCAAAATAATGCTAAATGCACACATTCTTAAGGACCTGGCAGCCATTCCTTTGAAATGCAATTATCACGATAAAAAGGCTCCCTATCTCCCCATCTCTATAGAAGGATAAGAGACTAACTTTAATAAGACCCAGTTAATAAACAGACATGGGTAAAGGAGAGCAGAATATGCCACCTAAAAGTATGCCACTTTGGTATATTGATTATTTTGCAATAAAGTTACTTAAGAAACAGCTGATGCAAGAAGGATACTCCAACCCTCCTTCTTCCCCCTGAAGGCAGGAAATCAATCTCCCATGTAAAAGCACTCTCTCTGTACCAGGAGGGGAGAGGGTATCCTTACCACCAGAAATAGGAAATTAAGGGCCAAGAAGACTGTATAAACAAACCTTGTTACTTCTTCATTAATTACTACCTCAAGCCCAAACCCATTTATCTTGAGGATTCTTCACAAATTCATTGCTTCCTTGTCTAAAAGATATAAAAGTTGCCTGCCTTAGCCACTTCCTATGTATGAAATTAAATTTGTTTTTCCCCTGTTAATCTGTGTTATGCCAATTTAATTATTAGACCAGCCAAAGACTCTAAAAGGAAAGAAAGGAAAAATTTTTCCACCCTTACATGCGCCAATCACATTGACCAACCTCTCCTTCAATGTCCTCCACTTTTCCAGATCTTAAAAACCGCCGCTTTCTGTTTTAAGGGAGTTGACTTTAACCTCCAACCCCTGTTGCAATAGCCTTGATCCCAATTACAATAGTCTTGCAAAAAGTGTTTGTTGCATGTTTAACTTCAACAGATGCAGTTTTCCTTTGACACTTACCATCTTGTTTGAAGGCATCTGAGGAATGATAAAGATTGATGGGGGAATAATAATGTTGAGCTGCTCCTCGCCAACTTGGTGAAGAAACACTCAGGGTTCCTAATAAAGGATTGCTGTATCGCGGTCTGATATTTGAACCAAAGAGGGATGAAGATGAACTCTTTTTAATTCTTAGCAAAGCAGCATATGAAGTAGGGAAATTATGAAGAGCTCCAGAATATTCTGTAAAAACAAAAAAATAAACAACAAAAAAACAGTATTATAAAAAGTGAATTCTGATGAGACTGTTATTTTTTCCTGGGAAAATTATTTTTTCTGAAGACATTGTTAACAACCAAATGAAAAGTACAAAGATAGTGGCAAAATAAAATAATATAAAATAAAACATTACTTTTGTATTTTAAAAATATTTTCTGGAAATTCTGCTAGTTTCAGTGTTGGGTCTGCAAGAGAGAAGGAAAGAAAAAAGTCATGAAGGAAGAAAGGAAAGAGAAGAAAAAGAAAGGAGGAAGGAAGAAGAAAAAAAGGGAAAACAGTAAGAAAGACATCCGAAGATTCAAGTCTTATTTCCTTTTCAGGAATTTTTGGGAATTAACTTTTTTTGTTTATCTTCTTATTAAAATATCCATTCACATACATTAGATCAGTTCCTTATTTATTATTAAAAAATGGGGAAAAAAAGGAAAAAATACCCACATTCTCAGTTACATCCTTTAATTATAGATTGAATCTTCATGAGTAAAATTTATCACTTAGTAGGAAATGCATCTAATTGCAGTATGTATTTTGACTAGACTGTAAGTTATGCCCATGTTCTTGACAAACAGTCAAATTCACAATGGAAAATAAACAATTTTGGACAAAATTTGTTTTGTAGATTTTGTTATATAATTTATATAACTTAATATTAATTATTAAGTGGAGACACTGTTATGAAATTCCTACATTAATTGATTATTGAGAAATGTCTTGACCATATTTTGTTTTAATTCTCAAGGTTTTTCATTAGAAAAGATATATATAGTACCTGAAGGAGAATATATTAACTCTTTATGTCCCCAGGAGAGAGAATCAGGTTAGTGTGTAGATCAAATGTTTAAAAATACAACCTAATTATTATGAAATCTAAAGAACAATTAGGAATTGGAGTTTTTTTCTATGTCAAATCTCAAATGAATTTGACAATTTCTTGATGTTGGAAATATTTTTAAAAATAACACGTTTTTGTTGAGGGCATCTGACATTTGAATTTAATGGATGTTAATTTGAAAAAAAAATTTATCTTTGTGAGTAAGCTTTCTCATAATGAAAATTATTTAGAATTATTGTACTGTCTCAGAGATATTTTTGAATGCAAGAATTATTTCTGTAATTTGAAAATACTTTAGTAGGTGTTAAACATTGAATTAAGTATAACATTTTCTGTTTTGTGAAACTGTAAATATGATTTCTCTGAAACTAGAAAAAGTGTGTTTTTAGATGTTCAATTTAGAGTTTCTGCACATTTAAATTGAGTATGATATGTGTAATCCAAGCCTATCAGGAGCTGTTAAGAGATTCATGTCCTTTAGTCCTTGTGTTCAACTACAGTTATGGTGAAGGTGGATCAATTTTAACTGAAAATAGCTAACCTCTCCTGGGCAAACTATATGAGAATAGATTATGGATAGACATAAAATCTCCTTTAAAACCTGGAATTAAATGCAAGTTTTGGCACCTAGAGGTATAAGGAATTGAAAAGAGAATTTTTCCTTCAAGTTAGTTTGTAGTTGTGGTCTCTGAACTATTCATTTCTTTGTGTAGTCTGTTTCTTTGTGTTTCAGTTGCCTACCCTGCTCATATATAAAAAGGAAAAAAAAAAAAGAACTGTACCATGCTAGTGTTAAAAATTAAAATGGAGCATGAGAATGTGGTTTATAGTTTTTAAAGCTAGAGAAGGATAATCAGTGGAAAAATAGAAAGGCCTTCATAAGGATCATCATTGAGGTTGTGAATCATATATGTATTTATGATTATTATATATATTATTTGCTAATATATATTAACAAAATACATACTAAGTGCTACAGTAATTGGCTTATAGCAATCTGTATAAATAGAAATGAGCCAAATGATAATTTGGCTGTGTGCTCCACACCAGGGCCTCATTTGTTATGTAATAAATTGCATCTGTTGCAGTGGAGAGTCCTTTTCATCAATTAAAGTGAACCCAAAGCTGTTACTAGAAATCTGAGAATTTATTCATTCATTAATGTATTCAGCAAACATGTAATGAGAACTCAGTAGGGGCTAAATGCTAGGGATACAAAGGTGAACAAGATATTGCACCAAGCGTCAAAGAGCTTATGATATAGTGATGAAGAAAGGCAATTATAGGAGAACTTTAATCCAATGTGATATAAAAGTAAATTCAAGGAGTTAGGGGCTCCCTCTGATGGGTGGGAAATTTTCTCATCTAGTCTAGGCCATCATAAAATGCTTTCCAGATGAATTATATCTAATCTGAGTCCTGAAAGACCATTAGTGATTAGTTCAGCAAAGTTCTGGGTGGGGAAGGAAAGATCCTGGAAAGGGAAGAAAATATATGAATACCTGGAAAGGAAAGGCAGCAGGGTGTACTTGGTAGATTAAAATAATCAGGAGCTCAGAGTGTGAGGGAGAGATGTGAGAGAAGAAGTAAGTCTGGATAGGTAAGCTGGGAATAATGATGAAATGCCTACTATGCCATGCTAAAATGGTAGGACCCTGAAAGGAAAGCAGTATAAATTTTAGAAAGATCTCTCTGGCTACAGTGTCATTTGGAACAAGAAAAAAGAAAAAGAAAAAAGATATATCAAGAGCTTAAAGCTGTAATAAAGGCAAAGATTAGTCAGGAAAGAAGAGGCGATATAAGGTAGATGGGAATAAAATCATTAAGATTACTGATTGATTAAAATGGAGGCAAGGAAGGGAAAATAAGAATTTGGGGATACTCTGTGCTACTAGAAGATGGATAAAGTTGGAGGAAAAGGCATGTGCTTGAGCTGAAAACTCATGAATTCAGTTTAGGGGAAGTAGAGGCCTTGAGTTTTGAATAGAAATTTTTGTAAACATAAGGGAGTTACAGGCTAACGAGAGATTATTAAATGGTAACCAAATAGATGGTTATTAAACTATGAGAATAGATGAGCCTACCAAGGAAATGCATAAAATGAGGAATAGAGTGTTGAAAATGGAACCCTGAGAAGCACCAGCATTTAAGAGAATAGCAGAGGTAGTGGAGCCTGTAAAGGAAAGAGGAAAAGCAGGAAAGTGTGAAGTTACTAAAAGAAGGGAAGAGTCTTTCAATGTTGATGACGGAGCAGTTGACAGTGTTGAAGATCAGTATGGAAAGACTGGCCCTGAAGAGAAGGGGTGTCCCACAGTAATAAAGCTGCCTTACTGTTCCACATAAAATGCACAGTGAATGTGAAAGTGAAAGGAGGTGAAGAGGACTTCCCAAGCTCTGGAAGAGAGTCTGGAACCCCCCACAATGCCAGTTCCATTGCATTAAACATATAGACCCTGGCCTTAGCCTGTGGCATCTAATAGTCTCCTAGTCTGAGCGTAAGTAACTATCAGTTCAGTGAGGTCTCCCTCTCTTGGGGGCATTTCCAACTCTTCTACCTGGTGCCCTCCTAGCTATCCAGCCTCTTTTTCTGACATCTCTAATTTCTCCACATTTTACTCCCAGTTCTGGGGACCCTCAGTTCTGGAAAATAGATACATTACTGTAAATAAACAGGAAAATGAGGTTTCCATCCTAAGACTTTGTTTAACCCCCAATTTAGGGACACTGAATTGATTTAACACCTACAGGGTTCAGTTGAGGGTGAAAAATATTACATTACCTTACTAAGTTTAAATTCATGTATTTGCATTTCTGTCCATCTCATCTTATTGTTCACCTCTTTCTAGGATCTCAACCTCTTTAAGATTCACAAGTTACTGATCTTAATACCCTTTCAGTCCTCTCATTTCCTCAATTACCTCCCTATCCGGTTTAGAGTTTGTGGTTCATTACTTTAGTTACTTCCTTCAATGTACCTTCACTCACACTGGCCCTTACCTTCTCTAGTTTTCACAGACTAAACTCCCTGTCTACTTTAAATCCAACCATCAACATGCTGTGCTTCTGAGCGCAGGTGGAAAAAAGCAGAAAATCATGCCTAAAGGTCACAGTTCATGATATTAACTACAAGTGAGATCTTCAAGTTTCCCAGCAATACTACCACATTTCCCTAGTCCATTTAATATCCCTGGATGGAATAATTTACATCTTATCTTTTGTCCTCAAGCTCCACACTTTTTTGGGTTTCCTGATTATGGTGCTCCTATTTAATTGAGAAAATAGAAGCAATCATAAGAGTAGATCCCTCACATGCACCCCCACCTGTATGTACATTCATATATGCTACCTTGCTTTCACTGAATTGTCTGTGTCTGTATTAAAAGCCAACTCCTCCACTTGTGTGCATTGAATTTCATTCCACCCCATCTTGACTGCTCAAGGACGTCTTTCTAGAAAACTCCCTCTATTTCTCCTTCAGCACCAATTCATAACCATACAAAAAGTGATCAAACCTTTTAAAAAAGCTATCTAAACTTACCACTCCTCCCACTGATTTTCCTTTACAGCAAGACTTCTTGAAAAGAGCTGTCAATGGTCACTGTGTTCAGTTCCCCTCCTGCCATTCTCCCTTGAGCCTATTGCAAGCAGTCTTGCTTATAATATTCCACAATAATGACTCTCTTCCAGGTGAACAATGACTAGGTCATTGCTAAATCTAAAGATCGGTTTTCACCTATGAGCAGCGTTCAGTATGGTTAACCATTCTTTTTTTTTCCTTTAAACATCTATCACCAGCTTCTGTTGGCTCACATACACTCTCTGATTTGGGGATCTCCAGCCTACAGGATGGCTTGGCCTTACACATAAGAGAGAAGAGATAGTGAGAGCAGGAACACAAGCAGGGGGAGTGGGAGAGGGAGAAGCAGGCCTCCCGCCGAGCAGGGAGCCCGGTGCGGGGCTGGATCCCAGGACCCTGGGATCATGACCTGAGCTGAAGGCGGACACTTAACGACTGAGCCACCCAGGCGCCCCTGGACTTGAAGCTTTGATGAATAAATGTACTTTGCATGAAGAAAAAAAAAATGTGATTCCAGTACACTACCATCTCATGTTTTTATTCCTGTTTCACTAGCTACTCCTTATTGCCTTTGCTAATTCTTCGTCTTCTCAGCTTCTAAATGTTGGTATTGCAGAAAAAAAAATATCTTCTCCATTTAAACGGAGTCATGATGGCAACAAAGTTTGAAAAAGAGTTTTTTTTTCCTTTCTTTTCAAGTTTCCTTTCAAGGCACTCAGGGTTTTATTTTTTTTTTCTCCTTTTTCTTTACTATATGTATCATAGTTCTCAGTTTTATAAATTTTTAGAATAATTTTGTTTATTAAATGTTCCTCTACTGGTATTTTACCAGTTTGTAATCCTCTACCAATACTCCCAGACTGTAAATTCCATGAAGGCACCAATGTTTCCCAATGTTCATTCTAACTCCTACCTTGTAGTCAACAGCTCTTTACTCTGTCTCTTATGCTTCTGTCTCAGCTCCTAAACATTTCCTGAACTCTGTCATTGAAAGGCATTTTCTGAGATAAATAATTTGGTAAATCTTATTCAGGATTCAGAACCTGTTTTTGGTCATCACTTTAAGAACCATCATTTAAGAAATAAGAACATAAACAAAACAAAAAAATAAAAGAAAGAAAAGGAAAGAAAGAAATAATAGCATAGGTTGGGCCCTGGATTTCAAAGAGACTCAGTGAAATATAACTGCTGAGTGACACTCTGTTTGGGCTCTGGACTGGTTTCCTACTACACATAAGCCCTTGGTTTCTTTTAGCAAACTTAAACATCATTTTCTCCCTAATTCACTCCTTTCTCATTCAGCATTCATTGATTTTTTTTTTTCAACAACTCTTCATTGAAATTCTACTATGTGTTAGGAACTGAGGATACAGTTGTGAGTAAATATGATCATTGATAGAGGATTATAAATTGGTAAAATATTAACAGAGGAACATTAAATAAAATTCTAAAACTATAAAAATAAGAACTATGATACATATAATAAAGAAAAAGGGGGAAAAAGAAAAGAAAAAACAGAGTGCTTTGAGAGGATACTTGCCAACATCTAACTTTTTTACTTTGTTGCCATCATGACTCAGTTTCTGGCAATGAAAACTTTACTCTTGGCTCTGGTGTATAAGTACTCCTACACCTTGGCCACTCATTTTATTGATTGAGAATTTTGGATGAGAGCAACTTTGTCACTAAACCTGTTTGCAAAATAGTCTCCAAGTTAGATTGCTTGGATTTAAATATGTACTCTACCTCATAGCAGATCTATGGCTTTGGACAAAATATGAATAGTTCTATGCCTCAGTTTCCTTGCCTTTAGAATGGAGATAACAACAGTTTTTTTCCCTCATAGGTTGTTGTAGAGATCAAATAAAGTAATACACATAAAGCACTTAGAAATTTGCCTGGTTCATAGTAAGAACTCCATAAATGATAACTATATAATTTTTTATTATAATCTGCACTTATTACCTCTGGTGGACGTAACTGAATATTGGGCTTATGCCTTACAGATTTGATTGGGTTACAAAATGAAAAAATAAATACCAAATTTTAATACTCATTTTACCTTGGGGAATTCAAAGAGTGGCAAATGGAAGGGTGATAGTTACAAATTTATTTTCCTGACAGGTATATTCTCATGAGTAAATTCTTAAGAAAAATTTTGGTCACTAATGGAAATTATGAATCTATAGAAAACCCATTGCTTATATACTGTTGTGTTTCTATTGGCAAAAGGAAGACCTACCCATCTTTTCTCCATCTTCCTGTCCAGGGTTTGGAAGGAAAAGTGACTCAGAATTCTTTGTTAGAGAAATCATCATCAGTTGCTCAAACTTTTAAATGAATCTCTATGCTGAAGATGTCAGCAGAATCTAGTTATGCGTTAATCATTTTTTCTTCTATTTTCTCACTGCTCATAGATCAGACCTTAGGGAATTTGCACTACAGTTATTTCTAAAGTGGTCTAGAGATTTGGTGATAAAACTCAATTAACCTGGTGCTCTCACACCATGAAACTCCAGCTGGAAGTTGGGTAGGAGTAAATATTAATGCCTTCATTAAATATTTCCTAATCAAATGACCCAGGGACCACTGAACCTATATTATTTAATAAAATTGTAGTCTATTAAGTCAGAATGACATTGCCACCACTTGCAGTCTTGGAACTAATAGCATTACTTTTCCATTACCTAAAAGGTCACTTTATAGCTATCATTGCCATTAATGTAAATAATATTCATGAGATAATGGATTCAAATTAGTAGAACTAGAATTTTTATGGCAAAATTTATAAATAAGTAGGATAAAAATGTCAATATGATAAAGGATACATTTTAAAATATATACTCCCTTACCATATTTAAAATTTCCTGAATTTTCTGATACTAAGTCAACTTCAGAATTGCATCTCTGTCCCTAAGTGTGAAAAACATGTTTACAATGAACTTTAAAGCACTTAAAATATTGATGATAAAACTAGAACATCACTATTGTATTCTGTATTTATTTCTTTTTCCGTCATTTCCCCACACAATGGTATTAATTTTTACAGCCAAATAAGTCTAAGCAACACCAAAAATTCATGAAATGACAAGTTTTTGTATAAATTCAATTCTAGTTTGATTTTAGATATTCATTTATGCTCATAAAATAATAAATATAAATAAACTATAGAATCAAATGATATGTGATGCTCTGAAGAATAATGCTTAATCATGGACTCATAAATCAGTGGAGCAAATAGTGACACCGTATATTGATGACACATTGTACAGAAAAAGCAGAAGTCATACAATATCCAAACCTGCAGTGTGAGTCAATTTGGCATCAAAGTCAGCTTAAAGAAATTTGATATCTGACCTTTTTCAGGGTAATTGCTAAGGCTGTCCTCTCTTGGATGAGAATTAATGTTAACTGTGCAACTTTAGCCTGCTACTGTCTTAAGAAGCTTGCAAGGATGGATATAACACCTCAGTGAAGCCAGTATGTGAAGCATTTTTAGAAATGGTTAATAATTTATAAATAATGTGCATCATTTCAATTTGGTAGTGTGCATCTATGGCAAAGGAGAGTTTGAAATAGCCCGGGTCAAATTTATTCTATGTCTCCAATCAGCACTTTCTTCAAGAACTGTATTATGTGTAAACTTTATAGTGTTTTAGCTGGAGAAGTGAGAAAAGATATGCAGAAGATTAAATTAATCATTTTTAAAACACCAAAGTTGAGCATCTAAACTGTAGTACTTTTAAGATATAAGGAAAAAGATTAACAGCATTGCTTTTCTAGTATTCTTTGCATCGGATTAAAAAATAGAGTAAAAAGAAATGTAGCTCTAAATTATTTCTACCACTTCTGTTCAGATATACTATTTATATTTGAAGTCATAATGATTTAAGATCTGGAAAATTTTATCTTTTTTCAATAGTAAATGTTTAGTTGTATGTGCAGATAGATCATGAAAGTTTCTACACCTTAATCTGGATATCATATTTGCTTTTATTAAACGAAAGACCGAGAGAGACAGACAGATCTTCTCACATTTCTTCTGATTTGTATATTTTTTCACTATTGTTATAAGTTTAAAAAAATCTATAGTATTTAGATAATACCTCTTTAAATTATCAAAAGCCTAGAGTGTGGCCGCATTAACTGGTATTTCCTCCATAATATGCCTGTTGTTTTCTAATCACTGAGGAAATTAGTAAGGGCAGGAGCTAGTTGTGAAATATAACCAAATTAATTTAGTGATTAAAGAATTCCCTCTTGTTTTGGATAATTAAAGATTTCAGTGAAGTTTTAAGTCTGCAATGATTATATTAGCTTTAGTCTCTGTGTGTTTAAGATAGATTAGATAGTATTTGATAATAAATCAGATAAAGCTGACATTATTTAACAATAAATGCTATGAATAAAAAATAATAAAACAAAATGCATTCCCCTTACCCCCAATTTTAGGAGATATCCTTTGGGAAAATTATGCTTTCTTTATCTACCATATAAAAAATAAACAGGTGTGTTTCATTATATCCAGTGCTTCCAATGATGTAGTAGCTATACTACAATCTACAAGTGTATAGAATGTCGATGTACTCAGTCCATTTTGGATTTAGAAATGGAATTCAAGATGGCCAATTACAATAATGGAATTTTAGATAGCTAAGAGTTATCTTTTTTTTTAAAGATTTTATTTATTTATTCATGAGAGACAGATAGAGAGAGAGAGAAGCAGAGGGAGAGGCAGGCTCCCCGCCGAGCAGGGAGCCCGATGCGGGGCTCGATCCCAGGACCCTGGGATCATGACCTGAGCCGAAGGCAGACACTTAACCATCTGAGCCACCCAGGCGCCCCAAAAGTTATCTTGATATGTGTGGGCTACACAGACATACATAATGCAATACAGGATTTAACATTCATTCAATATACAGGAAATGATCAATTATTATGTATCCCAGATTGAAAGTTAACCATGGAAATACAAAAAGCAATAAAACAGAAAATACTTGCCTTTAAAAAGTTCTTAGAAACTAAGAGAATAATGTAAACTTCGGGGAAACCACTTTATAATGATAGAACTTGAACACACCTCAATCTGATACTGATAGTCTCTCAGATAAAACTATAGTGACATTTTGAGAGAAATGGTCTTTACTGGGTTTAGTTCTTTTCAAATAGGGGATCTAAGGGAAGTTATTTTTACAATTGCATAGGTTAGAAGTCATTTAGGAGTAAGAGGCTACAATGCCCCCCATTAAGAAAATAAATGTTTCTCTCAGGTCTGGTGGAATCCCTACTCCATACGGTACTATCTTAGGCAGAAGTGTCTCTGTAAGGAAGAGGGTAGGTTCCAAGCAAGCTGCATCTTCTTCCTTAGGTGGGTGTATTGGCTCCTGCCTTGTGCAGATGTTCTGAGCAAATCAATTTCCATATATTTTAGCATTAAAGAAATCTCAATGCTCATTTTCCTTAGCTGTCGGTTGTTCCAATAATCACAGTCTCATTGGGATGACCAGGCCACAAACCACACTGTTAAATGAAAAAGTGCTCAACATCGCTCGGCATCAGGGGAATCTAAATCAAAACGCCAATGAGATACCACCTCACACCAGTCAGAATGGCTAAAATTAACAAGTCAGGAAACGACAGATGTTCGCGAGGATGCAGAGAAAGGGGAACCCTCCTATACTATTGGTGGGAATGCAAGCCTGTGCAGCCACTTTGGAAAACATTATGGAGGTTCCTCAAAAAGTTGAAAATAGGGCTACCATATGACCCAGCAATTGCACTATTGGGTATTTACTCCAAAGATACAAATGTAGTGATCTGAGGGGGCACATGCACCCCAATGTTTATAGCAGCAACGTCCACAATAGCCAAACTATGGAAAGAGCCAAGATGTCCATCAACAGATGAATGGATAAAGAAGATGTGGTATATATACACAATGGAAAATTATGCAGCCATCAAAAACAAACATGAAATCTTGCCATTTACAATGACGTGGATGGACCTAAAGGGTATTATGCTGAGCAGAATGAGTCAATCAGAGAAAGACATGTACCATATGATCTCACTGATATGAGAAATTCTTAATCTCAGGAAACAAACTGAAGGTTGCTGGAGTGGTGGGGGGTGGGAGGGATGGGGTGGCTGGGTGATAAACATTGGGGAATGTAGGAGCATAATAGGATTATTGTGCATTCTAACTTGCTGGGGAACATCTAGGAAGAAGCGATTGATAACAATCAAACAGGACATGACATTGGACATGGAATTTGACTTGAGCTTTGTTCATATTTCAGAAATGAGAAATAAACATTTATAAAAGTGTTTATGACTTTTATTTTGCTACTTTAACACATGAAAAAGTTGCTTAAGAATTCCTTCAAAGGGTGTTTGTCATTGGAGATCCCAAATGACCTCATTACAAGGCAATTTTTCTTCAAAGGCAGTCCTACAACTTTGACCCTAGTAACTACATGCTAGCAAGGCACATACTGCAATAAATCCGAAACTATGCAACTAACAGCAATTTCTTTAAAGAAGACATCAAAAAATAATTTTTCAATGACATTTTAGCAAAGTTAAGAGAATTCACATTTAACAGAAGAAATACCTGCAAATCATTTAAATTTACTCATCTGCTCTGGTTGTGGTATTCTAGCCTAAACTGACAGCTCATTTGGCCCAGTTACTTAGTTAAATAAAGATAAAGATATCAAGCAGGGTAAAATGTTGCATCCTGATTTAGAATGTCACTCTCCCTGTCAGTGCCTCCACATCTGCCTCATCTGTGGCACTTACTCAATATCTAACAAACTCAATTTCCAGAATGCAACTCCCAACTGTGAAACTGTTATTTTTCAGGTACATACAGATCACAAACTCTACTTTCCAACTCAAAGACTTACATATAAATTAAGCTTCAAGGAAATAGACATTGGTACTTTGCTAAATCTGTGGGAGTGTTAGTTCAACTGCCTTTTATTAATTTTGTTATTTGCTTCAGGGTCAGAGGGGTCCTTCTCTTAATCCTTTCCCTTATGGAATAAGTTATGGGGTTCAGATTCAACAGGAATTGTGATACCTTAAATTTCCCATGAATTCTAATTTTAAACCTTCTGATTATAAAATAAATATATCCTTGCTGTAGAATCAAAATCATCTCTAAACTTAAAACGCAGAGGTAATACTTTGCAAAACAATCTCTGGATGTTTTCTATCTCATGTATAGATAGATATACCAACAGAAACTTAGGCAGATTTTCTTTGTTTTGTTTGAAGGAAACTGGGACCGGTTTATAGATGCAGTCTCCTAATTTTTATTTAATATCATATTGTGATTATTTAATCCATTCCAAATGTTCTTCAAATGCATTTTATCAGCTGCATAACATTCCAGTGATGTTTTGTTATAATTTATTTAATCATGCCCCTGTGATCAGATTAATTTTTCTGTTCTATATAATGATGCAGGACTATCCTTGTACATAAATTTTTGTCTGTATAACTAATAATTTCCTTTGAAGAGCATCATAGTGGTGGCATTTCTAAATCTGAAAATAGCTCTTGCTGAATTTTTTTCTAAGAATTTTGACTTAATTATGCTCTTGTTAGCATTCTGAGGCAGCAATAACTTTTTAACATTTTACTATAATATCTTGTATACCATTTTATTAGATGATTGTTAATGTGAATTATCCTTAAAGTATGATAACAAAAACCTTATCTCATCATTGCTTAGGTTTGCATTTTGATTATTAGTCAGATACATTTTCTATATACGTATTTCCTCATTGAATTACATGTAAAGTAGTTTTCCTTTTTTTCCCTATTCAATTGTGATTTTCTTTTTCTTGGTTCTTAAAATCATTTTGTACACTATGACCATTAATGATTCCATTTGCTGCAATGCTAATTTTAATTTGATGATAATGTATTATAGGAAGAAAATTGACATTTTTATGTAGGTAAATTTAATGATCATTTTCTTTCTTATTTATTTACTTTGACTTTTGAATTTCTTTCTGAATTTACTTATGACTACTTTAAGATTTTAGATTTAGAAATATTAGTCAGAGTCACCCTAAAAGCAGTACATATATTGACTTTTCTTTGTGCCATGTTCAAATGCTAATTTAAAAGGAAAGTCATATTCAGCTGGTTGATGCAAATTTTATTTATTATTTTTTCAGGGGAAGGAAACAAAAATTTTTGAGTTACTATTTAAAGTTCAAAATACTTTTAGAATATCTAAAAGGTTATTCCAATTTCTTTTGTTCTTATGTCAGGTACAAAATTGCCTGAGGTTAAAAGGAATGATTAGAAGGGATATAGAAGGGAGAAAGTCAGTGAATATTTAATCTAAATTAATAAAGAATGCATTTAAACCAAACCCAGAGGCCAAAAAAATGCTATTAAACTTATGCTAAGAAGAGCATTTTAAGACTCGTGTGGCTCCATTTGTTGGATGGTAGAGGCAGATCTGCTTTATAAAACAATTCTTAGGAATCTGTATTGTTAGTGACATCATATGTTGTCAAAATATTTCTTTTTAAAATTTTATTTGGGATTGTCACTAAGCCCACTTAACATCTTATTGCTGCACACACTTTATTGTGGCTCTACAAGTTTTAATTTCATGACAATGCAAAAAATTCTGACTTTTTAGGTGACATTTTTCTCCTTTTTTTTTAAATGACAGTTGGTCAGTGGCTAAGGCTCAATGACATTTATCAGCTACCTAATTAAAATGTAGACATTTTTATAATAATTGCAAATGTGACCTTCATTTGTGTAATTTTGCTAGCTAGCATGTTTAACCAAATGTCACAAAGAACCCTAATCCATTCCTTCCCATAATGTTTAATTATATCATATTGAAAGTGTTCATTCTTCAGTTACCATGGTTTATGAAACCATACTGCTTCCCTGGAGAGTGGGGAGCTATAGTTCCAATATCCTAATGAGCAGTGATTGTAAGGCTGTGTCTACAAGCTGCCAAAACAACTAGCTGAAAAATGAAAATCCATTCAATTAACAAGTTAGTCTTCATGATGCCAAACAATAGCTCTGATTTGTTTTTCTCTGTACAAATAAGGGATTCACAAACTTGCGATAGTTTGTTTCAGCCTTCTGATCTCTCCTAGCACCTTCAGATCTTTCTATCTGATTGCCTGGGTGAAATCACCTCTTGAATGTTCCAGAGGTATTTGCAGCCTCCCATACTTTACAAGTTCTACCTTCTCCATACCCAGAAGCACTGCCTTAGTTAATTCTCTCTTCTAAATTCTCTCCAGATCCTTCCAGTCCATGGTCCACAATTCCATGAAAGTAATATTTGTAGCATGGAAATCTGATTATGGTATATGTCTGCCCCAAATACTGCAATCACTCCTTTCAAACTTCATGGTAAAGCAGACTTTTCTTCTGAGGGACAAGGCCATTCTTATCTATTTGTGTAAATTCAACGTCTTCTTCCTGTCTTCCTTCTCTAAATTTTAGTCAATTAATAATGAATAACTACAGTTTCTCAACTCAATCAGTCCATATTTCCTTTTCAGCCTTTGTACTTGCTATTTCCTTAATGTTATTATGTGTTAATTAGAAAGCAGTGAAAATTTTATGAAAATGTAATTTGGGGGATGTTCCATTTATATATTAAAAAATCACTATAGAACTAAAGATTCATAAACCATTTTATCTTAGTTTATAAAAATT